TCTGGGGGACGAAACTATATCCAGCCTACAAATTGAGCAAAAATGCAACGGCCACCGTCCGGCAGAAGCAAAAAATTTGCCTCGGCTCCAAACAGTGCTCCTGCCTAGCGTCCATTTTGACCGGAAGTGACAAACCAGACAAACCAGCAAACACTTGGTATCACCAACTGAAAGAGAAGGCTAACCAGACAAATAAATGGAGGCGGGTGATATCTGCAGCAATGAGCCTCAAGGAATACTAAAGAAGAAGGAGAATTTTCATTCAAACGGGTTGCACAAAACTGTATTTAAAAAAAAAAAACACGATTCAATCTATGTAAGCGTAATTAGACATTGCTGAACTGTAGCCATCAGTTCCGGGAACTTTTGGCTCTACAAATGTAATTATCTCTCTTAGTTAGTTTTCTTTCTCTGTTTACTATTTGTAGTTACGTAATTTTGTGGTCGTAAGGCATGTCGTAGAATGCCTTGTGACACTCTGGTAAAAACAGCTCTCCGGTGGACAGCAGATGGGAAAAGGAGACGTGGACGACCTAAGGAAACCTGGAGAAGGACAACAGAAATTGGAATGAAGGAATCACAATGCATTGACTTCAGAATACCAAGCAACAGACCGGCAGCAATGAGATCAAAGTGAATGCCTTATGTCAACAGCGACATGAAGAGGATATGAAATATATGTCGTAAGAGGCAACTAATTAGGAAGGTTTCCGTCGAAAACAGAGTATCCGGTGGACCAGATATGTCAAGCGGAGTGCAGGTAAAACTCAGGTCTGAGCCTGACGACTGGAGTTTCAAAGCGATAAACACATTACACAAAGTGCCAAAATGCGGATGAGGATCGCTGTGGAGAGGTCCCAGAAACAGCAGAACTTTGGCCATATGTATGGCCTGCCTTTTGCAAAAGCCAGAGTAGGGCTTCAAATGACAAAAAATTTCGTCCTAAAAAGGATGAAATTTGTAGTTATAATATTAAAACTCAGGTCGCGGAACAAGACTAAAGTACAGAAGTGGATAATCAACTAGAACTTTGCACCAGAGTTTACAGCCAGTGAACGCGAAGAATAACTGGTGCCTGCGCAGAATAGAAGGAATATAATGGTATGATAGAATAACTAATGCAGAGCTTTTGGGAGAGAACTAAACAGGCTCCAGTGGACCAAGAGGTGAGGAAATGACGCTGGCGTTGGAGAGGACACACACTGAGAAAACAGGAGAACAGCATAACTAGAAAGTCTTTGCATTGGAGCCCACAGGGGCATAGGAATAAAGGTAGGCCCAAAAAAAAAAAAAAAAAAAAAAACACACGGAGAAGAGAGCTGGAGAATGAAGCTAGAAATATGGGGAGGACATGGTGAGAGCTCCATGCAATGGCGTAGGATAGAACGACTTGGCGAGAGTTGGTTGAGGGCCTATGCTCCATTGGGGGATAGAAAGGCAGAAGAAAGCGGAGAAGAGAAGAAGTGGACAGACAGTCGCAAGTCGAGGATGTGAACTAACAATTTTAACGCCAACGGCAATAGCTACAATGGAACTACTTCTACTGTGATAGTTTTCAAGTCGAAAGGATCCACTACATTGCTATGGGTTATTTCCCCTGTCTCGGCCTCCACTCTAATACACAAAGCATAGCTTAAAGTACGAACCCCGTATCTCCAGCGCCGACCCTATAGGATCGCTGTGAATGCTACACCCGTCAACTGAACGATGAGCACATGTAACGAACTCACGATCTTTAGAGGGCTAGGCAAACGGCTTGGCCACGGAGGCCACCTTCACACCTATAATGGGCGCAATTTCTCGAGTACTGATTAGGAATGTCCCCTTGTGGGTTCAGTGGAACCACTGTAGGGAGGGAAACTAATGCCTCCCTTTAAGCATGTCGTAAGAGCCGACTAATTAGGAGCTTTCTTCGAAGTCTGAGTCCATCTGCCTGAGAAGCAAGGAACCAACAGTCTGCACACACGTCAGACCTGTAGAACGGATTTGCACGCAGCACTCAGGTTCTGGAAAAAGACTAAAACCCATTCGCGCTTACGACCACAATACATACGTAAGAGATGGACGAACAACCAGAACTTTCACCTGGAGTTCACAGGTGGTGAACGCGCAGAAGAGGACGGAGATTAACACTGAATACATATATTTTTTTTAACTTTTGGCATACATTTCTTTCTTTTACACACACCGCTTATATATACTTCCCATTTTAAACAAATACAGTATTGGTTGCAGGCGAGTTCCTGAACCGAACCAGTGGTGTCGAAAAGTTGTTGACAACACGCAGTCTCCCCCAACTGGCCATCGATTTTGTTAGATATATCGACGCATATTCGACGAGACTTCTGAACTCATCACTGCATCAGATATCGAACCTGCACGGGGAGCCAGGCAAATGACTAGCTAGTTTAGATAGGGCGGCTTGAGTTGGACATCGGCCGTGTTGTTACAGTGGGCCCTCCTCTTCGCGAATTTCGCACAGGCGGCAACACGCCCTCAAGTTTCTGTAACACACTGCAATACCGTCGCAAGTCATACTACACATACACAACACTTCAGAACTAATTTCATTAAAAAGAAAGAAAAAAAAAAGACAAAGAGAGACCAGTAGTTATCAACGTTCAATGACAAAGTTGTGAGGTCGCGTTCTGTTTTTTAAAAATTCGTTTCTTTTGCTTAGTGACGATATATTAAAACGAGAAGGAGAAGGAAGGAGGAGAGAAAAAAAAAGCCCTCAGAAATGACTGTAGCCGAAAGTGTTAAAAATAAAAAAAAAGTAAAATAAAATAAAGGAAGAGTAAAAATCACCGTGTAATAGACTCGCCCAACAGCGACCAGTCTCGCAGCACTTCGCAAAGTATTGAGCAAAATATCGAAAAATATAGGTCACAGCAATGGTAAAGTGTATTATTGAAATCTGCACCTCTAGCAAATGTTTTCTTTTTATTTTATTTCTACAATTTTATCCAGGAGAAAAAAAAAAAAATATAGGATGAGTGTGAAGGTGAAGATACAAATGAGCAAATTGTCATCTCTTTTCTTTTATTTGTAGTATATCGTATGTCCTACTTTTATCCTCCACTTTCAAAACTGGTATAACTTAATTATTTAATATTTTTTTTGGTTGCTGATATATTCTAGTAATTTACTTATTTTTTTTTTGTTCAATATTATTTAAAATTTAGCTTATTCAAATCCATAAATTAGCTTGTATTGCCGGGTTAGTAGTTATTTGACGCTTATTATCTAACTTTGTATAAAAGTTAGTTAAAATAAGCCTATAAGATAAATTATTACATCGTTATGGTCGTTTACTGCTGTCTTGTTTGTCAAGCAAAGTTTGATAATTGGTGAAGTTGTTTGTAAATCAGTTACAAGCGTGCATTGTTTGTGAAATCATAAACTTGTGATATTAATCAGTGTGTGAGCTGCACAATTTTTACTCGGATCCTACCAACTAAATGACTGGCAGTTCGCCAACGCGTCTTTGTCGCCGAGCTGTGTGCAGTCAGTTCGGGGGTCGGTCTCGCAGCACAGCACACGGGGGCTATTTCCGTCGGCCAATGGGCTGGCAGCAACTGACAGGTCTGCTTGATGTTGGCAAGACAACGGGGTCAGTGTCGTTCTTGATGGCTTGACAGGTGCGTGACAGTTCAGCTCTCAGCATGTATGCCAAAGGAAAAGGTTCTACTGTTCCCTCGGATGCCCAAGCAAGAGAAAAGTAAGTAAATTGATATTTTACTCTCGTATGTACCCACAGGTATAAGTTCCCTCTATTGCACGGCTCGGAATTATTCTTTGTTTCTGCTGGCTTCCACCTGCACACGAGGATGCCCCATTCAAACACTCGGTATAATGGCTGTTCCAGTTATGAAACGTACACATCCCCGCACACTTCTTCCTTCCACTGTTTACATTCTGGGAAAAACCGCAAACAGCCGCTCGTTAACTCTTTATTGAAAACACACAAAGTAATATTATATATTGAGATGTAATGAATCCATCACGGGTTGTGATTCCATGGCACACAAATAATAAACAAACATCGATCATCTTCAAGTATGGCTGCCAATAAGTCAGTGAACCGGGTCCAGTCATTGAAACTTTACGTGATTATGAGTGATCTCCCTTAATTGTGTTACTGTTCACAGTTTTGAACCTTCTCTCATCTACTCCACTAGTAAATAACCATCTCAGTTACCAACTGCTCACAGTTTCTCTGTCATTCATAAGATAATATGATGTTCTTCCATTCTTCTGTCACTGACAAATGTTGTGTTAAATTCAGATGCCCATCCTTTTGTTATTGAGAAGTTGCAGATCAGTCCCTGCATTTGTTGGCTTCATTCTGTTTCATAGATTTGAACCCTCCTTCTGTCATCTTCTCTGGGAGTTTATAGTTGAACTTTTATTTCCCTGGATTCCCAAGATAACATGTTCTTCCATTCTTCTATCGCAGACAAATGTTGTGTTAAATGAATATGCATATCCTTTTGTTAATAGGACCTTGCATATCGACCCCTGGATTTGTTGATAATGATGTTACTGTTGATAGATTTCAACCCTTCATCTGCTCTGATAGTTATTGTTGAACCCCCTCAGTAATGAACCCCTCAAAATTTCTCTATCATTTCCAAGGTAGTATGTTCTTCCATTCTTCTATCAGATACAACCGTTGTGTTAAATTTAGGTGCACGTCTTTTTGTTTATGGGATGTTGCAAAAAAAAATATCAACCCCTCTTTTTTCAATTCACTAGGCAATTTTGCTTGCAGTATTTTGCATTGCTGCTCCCTCAGCCATATTGCTCCCCTCTCAGTGGTCATTGCTCACCTCTTAAGGATCATTGCTCCCCGGTCACTGCTCCCCTCTCAGCGATCATTGCTGCCCTCTCAATGGTCATTGCGCCCCTCTCAACGGTCATTGCTCCCCTCTCAGTGGTCACCGCTCCCCTCTCAACGGTCATTGCTCCCCTCTCAACAGTCATTGCTCTCCTCTCAGTGGTCATTGATCCCCTCTCAGTGGTCATTGCTCTCCTCTCAGTGGTCATTGATCCCCTCTCAGTGGTCATTGCTCTCCTCTCAGTGGTCATTGATCCCCTCTCAGTGGTCATTGCTCTCCTCTCAGTGGTCATTGATTCCCTCTCAGTGGTCATTGCTCTCCTCTCAGTGGTCATTGATCCCCTATCAGTGGTCATTGCTCTCCTCTCAGTGGTCATTGCTCTCCTCTCAGTGGTCATTGCTCTCCTCTCAGTGGTCATTGCTCTCCTCTCAGTGGTCATTGATCCCCTCTCAGTGGTCATTGCTCTCCTCTCAGTGGTCATTGATCCCCTCTCAGTGGTCATTGATCCCCTCTCAGTGGTCATTGATCCCCTCTCAATGGTCATTGATCCCCTCTCAGTGGTCATTGCTCCCCTCTCAACGGTCATTGCTCCCCTCTTAACGGTCATTGCTCTCCTCTCAGTGATCATTGATCCCCTCTCAATGGTCATTGATCCCCTCTCAATGGTCATTGATCCCCTCTCAATGGTCATTGATCCCCTCTCAGTGGTCATTGCTCTCCTCTCAGTGGTCATTGCTCTCCTCTCAGTGGTCATTGCTCTCCTCTCAATGGTCATTGCTTTGCTCTCAATGGTCAAGACTCCCTATCTTTGTCAAAATCAACACAGAGCAATTTGCTGCTAAATATAGCCTGAGCTGAGTTAAGCTGGATATTTTGGAGTTGTGAACCATGTTCATAACCCAGGAGTCGGATTTAAACTTGATGAGGGCCCAAGCTTTAAAAGACCCTCAGGCACCTACTGTTTAAAATGAAACCAGTTAATCTCAGAGAACTATAAAATATATACACGTTTTCAATATATGGATCATTGTCATGATGTAGCAGGTCCTTTGCAGAATGTCACTCACATCTCAGTCTGCCTCAAAGAAACTCAGTCTCTCGCCAGCTCTCCCGCCTCATTTTCTTACAATTTAAAGGAGTCAACTTATATTCTCTGACCATCTTTGTGTTGGTCGACCCCTGCCCCTCCTTTCTGGACCATGCCTTCTTGTGTTATTTTTTCCAAGCCATTATGATGCCTGATATGACCAGTTTATCAGCTTCCAAGACTAGATGCTGTTTATTAGCCAATATACCTTGATGGTCAGATCTGTTAAAACAACAGTATTTCTTCTCTTCTTTGTCCATTGTATTCTGAGAATCTTTCTATAGCATTTCAACTCAAAAGTCCCTATTTCCTTTTTCAGTAGAACTATATAGTCATTTAATGTTTATTAAAAGAAATAACTAAGAATATCTTTGCAAAATTTCATAAATGATGTTATATAATATTGTAAAAGGCACAAAGTTACAACTTAAAATATTTTCCTGTTAATTTCCTTAGTTGCATTTATGGGGGGGGGGGGGGGATAGTTCAACACCTGCAGATTGTCAGGTCCAAAACTGTAGCTAATTTAGCTTTTACCTAAATCCAGCCCTGTTGGAAACCCGCAGCATGAGCCACGAATGCCATTTTATTAAATCTTTGTATTTTAAATATTAGTTTAAATACGTCTGTCTCACAGTGTCTTGTTCAACTCCTTCACATCTCTGGCTTGTTCTTTCTGCAGAACAGTTGTTTGCAGATGGCTAGCTGTTCTTTAGAGAGACCGGGTCATATAGGATAAGACCTGGTGTAGTAAAGTCGATCTTATTTGCTTCGTCTTCTACATCAGTTTGTTGCTTTTATTTTAAGCTCAACTCCTTGGAATATAAATGAGTACAGTAACAATCATTTGGTAGCTCAAAAGTGGATCCGAAGGTTGCGGATTCAAATCTGGACAGAGCCAGAATTTAAAATAAAATTACTTTGGCTCCTAGGTCAACCCTGCCTTAAATGGATAGCAGGTAAGGTAAAGTCCTGGGAAGTAAAGGTGGCCAGCGTGATATTGACCAGATCATCCACCGAGCGACGATTGCTCTGTAAAATATATTTCTATCACTATGTATCCAAAATGCCTGAAGATGTGGAAAAAGTTTCTTTACTTTTACTTTACACTTGCTTTGAACTGAACAGGCTAAGGCTTCTTCTTCTTCAGCATTACAAGCTCTTGAGATTCATTGCTGCAGATATCACCCGCTTCCAGTCGTCTCTCTGGTTGGCCTTCTCTTTCCAGTTGGTGACACCAAGTGTTTGTAGGTCTGTCTGGACATTGTAAGCTAAAGCTAGTTTCACACAATTTCACATTGGATGAGCATACAGTGTGTTATGTGGTTGACTCATAACTCTAATGTGGTTCATTGTTTTTGTGTTTCAGACTTGCCTTATATGTTTACGAGTATTTACTTCATGTCGGGGCACAGAAATCAGCACAGACATTTCTGTCAGAAGTGAGTAGCCAGTTTGAGTGATTGCTTGAAATTGTTGACTGCATGTTGAATCAAGAACTTGTGTCTTCTAGGAACCCATCGTGGTGGTGGGGTACTCCCTGACAAGCATTTTGTAGAAGACAGCTGATTAAAACCTTGCTGAAATCAGATATGTGTGGGATTAGAGGTACAGATATCACATACTGCAACACAAAAACATACCAGCCACCCTTTTAATTGTGATCATAGAAGAAGAAGAATTTTAAAAAAAAACTTTAGTGATTCTTTGTGCATGAAAGCATAGATCAGGGCATTTCAACTAAGTTTACTGGGGCTAACATTTTGAAAATAGGGATCACCACGGACCAGAGGCCAGCGAATTAGCTTAGAAAGATCATTAATATAGTAGAATTCGCAGTGATCCGAAGGCCACTTGCTACGCTACCGCTGGACAGATTTGGCCTGGTGGCTGCGACTTGAATAACCCTGGCATAGATGTTGATTGGTTGCTTATGTTGAATACATCAATGTGTCAGGTGCCATCTTCACAGGGAGGGTTGGCTGCCATGAACTCCAACACGCTTTGTCTCCTCTCTTGATCTTACATGCTGTCAAGGCTGCTGTTCTCTTAATGTGATCCTTTAACTTGTATTGTCTACCCCTTGCTCTCTTGCCTTTGACTTTTCTCTACAATATAGTTTTTATCTGAACAGCTGAACTTAAAAAGAAGATGCAAGCATTGGAAATAAGATCTTTCAGAAAATTTCTTGGTACATCGTACAGAGACCGAACCACAAATGACGAGGTTTGCCTTATAATTACCCAGCACATTGGCGACTATTGTCTTTTAACTACAAAAGATGGAAAATGCAATGGTTTGGATATGTAATAAGATGTAACAGCCTCTCAAAAACAATACTACAAGTCTCGATGGAGAAGAAAAGGCAGAACAAGAAAGACCTGAATACATAACTTGATTGACTAGACAGGCCTTAGACATGCACCATGAAGTGCATTGCATCTGACCGTCGAAGGTGAAGGGAGTAATTCAGTCATTTAACAGCAGCTGGTCATATGCAGTGTTATGCGACAATGATAATGGTTTTTCAAAGGGTGTTATTGAAATATTTCAGTTTTCTATTTCTAACTTCTTTCAGCAACTCTTATTACTCCAAATCTCATCAGAATCTCTGTGTTTGATTGACATGGCATCAGACGCCGTTTAGAAAACATAGATACTGAATCATTTGATGCTTTTTAAAAAAAAAATTTTTTTTTCAACAATAAGAAAATATCATTTGTATTGAAAACTTTCTTTATTAACTAACTATTCATGGGTTTATGCTTTTTCTCATTTACAGATCAGATGGGAGAAAAACATAACATTAGGAGAACCACCAGGGTTCCTACACTCGTGGTGGTGGTAAGTGTTTTCTCTAGGAATGATGATGATGTCTTTATATCTTACATCCTAGTTTTGGTGGATAAGAAAGATCTTTTGGTAGATGAAGACAGTCAAGATTTTAAACAGACTGACTCCAGCTAATAGGCCATGCTGCTGATGTCACAAAACCGGGCTAATGATACGTTGACTCAGCGTTGCTCAAACTTTCTTCGGCTGGCAAAAAACATTTCCTGACACACCTACCCCTAAAGCGGTTTGAATACTTGTGAAAAGAAGAAGAAAAAAACAGTGCAAATATAATGTCAAGCAGATTTGGAAAAATTCTTGATCATTGCCGAGGCACCACTGACTTACGCTCGCGGCAGCCAGTTTGAGAATCACTGCGTTAACGTATCATTAGCCCGGTTTGGTGATGTCAGCAGCATGGCCTGTCACCTAGAGCCGGTTTTGGCCTGACCCATGTTTTTGTATGTCTTTTTTTTTCAGCATTCTAAGCCCTTGAGTTTCTTTGTTGCAGATATCATCTGTTCATTTTTTTCTGTGGTTGGCTGTTCTCTCTTTCCGGTTGTTGACTGCAGTAGTTTGTAGGTTTGCCTGGATATTATCTCTTCACCATCTTCTTTTATCTGTTTCCTCGTCTAAGGCCATTAAACTTCCTTGTATACACAGTGTTTGCCTTTCTATCATTGCTATTCCCTCTGCATGCTCCAAGTCATTTCAAACTGTTAGCCTTCAAGATGCCAGTATTCACTGGTGATTTAAATTATGAGCAGTAAACTTAAAGCCCTATGTGATATATAATGATACTGCATGATAATATATATAATTTTTTAATTTCTTTTTTTAAAGAGAAAGATATAGTAGAAGCAACCTAGTTTCCTCAAGTACCTTCTTTTTGTGGCTAATTTGCATGGGTGTTTCTAAAGCAGATTGGTAGTACATATGTCATAAACCCCGACTGATGTGGGCTCTCAAATGACAGAACACATCCTTTAGGCCTGGTTTTTTATCACCATCTGGCTGGGAACTAAACTTTGATGCACAAAGCAGGATCTAGAGGAGAAGAGAATACTCAGACATCCTGTGTGACAGAAGAAGGCTTTCTACTTCTGAGGTGCATCAACTCATCATCAGAAAATGTAAATGAAGCCAAAAGTTTTTCAGAAATGATCTTGGCTCCCATGTCGACCCAGCTACAAATGGGTACCAGGTAAAGTCGTGGGAAAATAAGGTGGCCGGCATGATACTGACCACATCACACATCGAATGGGGAGTCGCGTGGTGGAGCGGCTAGACACTCGCCGCGGATCAGAAGGTCGTGGGTTTGCTCCCTGGTGGAGCCGGACATTTTATTTTTCAAAAATAACTTTGGCTCCCAGGTACCTAGCCTTGAGTGGGTACTGGGGGCAGTCCCGGGAAGTAAATTTGGCCGGCGTGATGCTGACCACATCACCCATTTTGTGCCGATTGATCTATAAAATAAAGGTCTAGCCCTATATGCCCTATACACCTAAATGCGTCAAAAAGGGTCCTTAACTTTTTACTTACCCATCGAATGCAGATAGGTCTATAAAATCTAGTACTAGCCCTATTTGCCGAATAGTCCTGAAAGCGTGGAAAATGGTTCTTTAAAAAAAAAAAAACTTGTAAATGTAGGGTATTACTGTTAATGAATGAAAAAGTTTTTTTTTTTTAAATTGTCCATAATTTAGATTGTGAAATAGTTTAGAAGTCGGGGTTGTAGGGAGACCGCTATTTGCTGTCTAACATTCATCTTGGCTGTATCAGGTCTTTAAAGTGTTTCTGTGATTTTAGAGTATATTTGCAATTGTTCTAGAATTGGAATAATTTCTAGAATACATGCATGGCTCTCCCAAAGCCAAAGGTAGAAAAGGCAAGGAAAAAAATTTCGTTGATTACTGAAAAACATCTCTGCAATTATTTTGTCAAGTTATTGCCCTTTTTATGTTTGAAACGTGAACAAGAAAACAATTCTATAGTTGTTTAACAAAACATATTAAAGGTAGACATCCATTGACAATTATAGAGCAGTAATATGCAATAACAATAAGACTTTTAATAATTAGACATATCTTAGTGACAGTGTGTGATAAAAAACGGAAACTTCAATATAAATATTTTAAAAAAAAATTGCAAATGTTTTGCCATTCAAGATTTTTATATTTATTACGAGAAACGGTAGGTTGCAAAAATTCAAATTGTATTATATGTGTATGATAGAATTGTGCTCTATTGTCCATGTCTTGTTAGGGATCTTTGTCTTCTTCTCCGTGTTTACTGACTGTAGACTCCGGTGGAAAGTTCTGGTTGTTCGTCTACTTCTGGACTCTTGTCCCGTTCCAGAACCTGATTGTTGCATGCACATCCGTTTTACAGGGCTGTCTTATTTGTATGCAGACTGTTGGTTCCTCGGCTGTCAGGCAGATGCACTTTGACTTTGATAGAAACTCCTTTGATTAGTCGCCTTGTATGACTTGCACGTGAGAGAAGCAGTGGCTGTATTTTTTTTTCCTCTCCCCGAGGATGGGGTTTCTGAACCCACACAGGCGGGGTCTTTAGCAAAAACAAAGAATAGTAACACTGCTCCCTGCCCAACATGTGGCCAGAGGGGACGAAAAGTAAGGGTTTTGCTAACCAGTCTGTAAAAAGATTGAGCTGCAGAAGAAAATCAGTTGTGAGTTGGTTGAGAACTGGTACACTTTTAGGGGATAAAAGCAGATTAAATAGAATTCTGCTCTACTGCGGCACTTTAGTTCAGGCATCTTTCACACTTTGAAAAATAACAATGTTACTCGACACGTACCTGTGGGAAAAAAAAACAACTAAGGAACATAAATTTTTATGAATCAAAGTTATAACCCAGAAGTGTTGAATGTATAACCTCATCATCATCATCATGTAGCATGTCCTTTGCAGAATGTCACTGTCATCACAGTCTGCCTGAAAGAAACTTGGTCTCTCGCCAGTTCTCCTGCCTTGGGTACTTTCATATTCAAGGAGTCACTTATATTCTGTGCCCATCTTCCATTTGGTCGACCCCTGCCTCTCCTTCCTGGTACCATGCCTGCTGCTATATTTTTGTTCAATCCGCCATGGCGCTTGATATGACTAAAATATTTCAGCTTCCGTTGTCGAAGTTTTCCCCTGCTATTTATTAAATAGCTTAGATATTCAAATTTTGTAACATTTTCAATTTCTTAATCTTATACTGTTTTGTTTGGGTGACAGCCAGTTTTGTCTTTAGACATTATTTTCATTTTCTGTATAACTACTTAATTTAAAAAAAAAAGGATAATAAATTCAAATAAGTACCAACCCACATTGGGCTATAGGTTAGTTTAGTTTAGGGGGGGGGGGTGACCTTTTATAACAGTGTTTTAGGGTTGAACAGGATTTCTGAGATTTGTACATGTTTAATTTTCATTCTTAAAATGTTAACTCTACAGAGTCCAGAGTCTGGGAATTAAATAAACATAAATTGACAGGAAAAAGGGTTGCTATTTGAGTCTCTGTTCCGCATCCTGTTTCATTCTTTTTTTTCTCATGTTATTTAATTATTTGTTCCTCAGCGTCTTCTGGGATTTATATTGTGCAGCTCCTGAAAGGAGGGAAACTTGTGATCATAGCAGTGAAGCGAAGGCATTTCATGATTATGTAAGTCTTTGCAGTTCTTCATTGGGATGATTATGTCCATGCTTCTGTTTGTCATGTGGTAATTATGTTGAGTCTGAGCTGTTGTTTGTGGTGATTATATGTCTTTGCTTCGGTTTTTGTGTGTGTGGTGATTAGGTATGTCTTTGCTTCTGTTCTTGTTTGTGGTGATTAGGTATGTCCTTGCTTCTGTTTTTGTTTGTGGTGATTAGGTATGTCTTTGCTTCTGTTCTTGTTTGTGGTGATTAGGTATGTCTTTGCTTCTGTTCTTGTTTGTGGTGATTAGGTATGTCTTTGCTTCTGTTCTTGTTTGTGGTGATTAGGTATGTCTTTGCTTCTGTTCTTGTTTGTGGTGATTAGGTATGTCTTTGCTTCTGTGGTGATTAGTTCTTTGTTTTCTTGTTTTGTGGTGATTAGGTATGTCTTTGCTTCTGTTCTTGTTTGTGGTGATTAGGTATGTCTTTGCTTCTGTTCTTGTTTGTGGTGATGAGGTATGTCTTTGCTTCTGTTTCTTGTTTGTTGATTGTCTGCTTCTGTTTTTGTTTGTGGTGATTAGGTATGTCTTTGCTTCTGTTCTTTTTGTTTGTCTTGCTTTCTGTTGATTAGGTATAGTCTTTTTGCTTCTGTTCTTGTTTGTGTGATGTATTAGGTTTTGTTTGTGGTGATTAGGTATGTCTTTGCTTCTGTTCTTGTTTGTGGTGATGAGGTATATCTTTTTTTCTGTTCTTGTTTGTGGTGATTAGGGATGTCTTGCTTTCTGTTCTTGTTTGTGGTGATGAGGTATGTCTTTGCTTTTGTTCTTGTTTGTGGTGATTAGGTATGTCTTTGCTTCTGTTCTTGTTTGTGGTGATTAGGTATGTCTTTGCTTCTGTTCTTGTTTGTGGTGATTAGGTATGTCTTTTTTTCTGTTCTTGTTTGTGGTGATGAGGTATGTCTTTCTTTCTGTTCTTGTTTGTGGTGATGAGGTATGTCTTTTTTTCTGTTCTTGTTTGTGGTGATTAGGTATGTCTTTGCTTCTGTTTTTGTTTGTGGTGATTAGGTATGTCTTTGCTTCTGTTCTTGTTTGTATTGATTAGGTATGTCTTTGCTTCTGTTCTTGTTTGTATTGATTAGGTATATCTTTGCTTCTGTTCTTGTTTGTGGTGATTAGGTATGTCTTTGCTTCTGTTTTTGTTTGTATTGACTTGGTATGTCTTTGCTTCTGTTTTTGTTTGTATTGACTAGTTATATCTTTGCTTCTGTTCTTGTTTGTGGTGATTATTTACCATCCATTTAAAAAAGAATAAGAGAATGCTGATGTTAACAGCACCTAGTATTAGTGTAAGCATCAAATAAAACCAGGCGTGGCTTGGTACTTTATATGCACATGCTCACACTCTCACATTATAACAGTGCCCTGTGAAGCCATGATGAAATTACCTTAGTTTTATGTTGGGAAAGAAATATTTGTTATTAAAGTCAAATTCGGGAGGATCGACTTCACTGCATCAGGTTTTATCCCATGTGACATGGTCACTGTCTACAGAATGACTATCTGCTTGCCAAGAGTGTTGCACAAAGCATGAACTCCATAGCTGCAGCAGAGATCCCCAGAGTATGCATGTATGAACTGAAAGCCATCTGGGAGATGAACCCATGCTCTGTGTATTATTCGTAAGCCGATATTTTGAAAATCTTACAGGTTACACACGTTCCATTCCCCTGCTTCGAATCCCATGAGATTAAGGTCTAGTATTCCATTAAAGGCCTACACGCTCCTGTGAAGACTAGCCCTGGCGTTTTTGAACTGGCTCTCCATTATGTTCCACTGAGTTTTTGTTTTCACCACAGCGAGTCTTTATATGCCTTGATTTTCTTTTCTTCTAAGTTTGGCTTCAGGGTGAGCTTGTTACCTAGTGTAACTACCTCCCCCCCCCCCCCTTCCCCACACACACACACACACAGAAAGTGGGGTAGATCTTTTTTAACAATGTTGTTGTTGTTATCGATCCAGCGGCGCATGAGCTTTCTCCCTTTGGCCCAATGCCATGTAGTGGAATTAACATGTTTTCACAAGCTGTTCTTTTCCTTCGTACAAGGTGTTCCACTTGTCTGGCCTCGGAGGAAGTAGCATTCTTCTAGTCTTGCTGAGTTTTGGGCACTCAAAGAGATGGTGTTCAACAGTTTAGTAGGGGTAGTTACATAGCTGGCACTCTGGGGAGTGTTGTGGCTGTATTCTGTTTAGGTGTCCATTGAGTGGAGAATGTTGTGTTCTGAGTCTGAAGATGGTGGCCTGGTCCCTCCTTGTTAGATGATTAATGCTGTCATTAGGATCAGGGCTAGCCATGTGTCTATAAACCTCTCTTCGAGGATCTCCCATACCCATCTGTTCAACCACGTCTCTTTGTTTATAGCTCTTATAAGTGTTTTTACTGTCTGTAGGGTTGTCGCTGTAGGTGGTGGTTCTTGTGCTGCTCCTTTCTTTGCCAGTCTATCAGCTCTGTCATTACCTGGTGTGCCGGAGTGGCCTGGAATCCACTGCATCACTATTCTGATGTTGTATAAGGTAATAAGCTGATCAGCATCCAGGATTATCTTGGTTATGTCAGTTCTGCAGCGTTCACTACCCTCCAGAGCTTGAAGGGCAGACACTGAATCTGTGAAGATTACAATATTTTGGGCCTTTGAAGGGTAAACATCCATTTCAGTCTTTAGGTGGTATACTGCTGTTTCCAATGCAATTATTTCAGCTTCATAATTTGGGCAGAATTCCCTGCATGCATCAAAAATCTCTTCAACAGATTCATCGGAATAACCTATGTACATTCTGTAACCTGCTTTAATGCAGATCAATCAGTATAAACATGTATCCATTCTTGGGGGTAAGAATCAACGGTCTTTAGTGATGAGTTCATAAGAGCGATTGGGTCGGACTGTTTGGTTTCCTCGCCTACCAATTTAATTCGGACTTCTGTAGCTTTAAAGCGAGCATGTGGTGGTAGGTTTCTTGCAACATTCTGAATGCCTTGACGTCTTTCTGGGAGGTGGTATCTGTCCTGAATTTCATGAACACAGTGTAAAACTGATTTGTGCTTTATTCTTTGTTTGTATTCCCAGTTTTCTACAAGGTGTCTATTAGGATGGTTATGATTCATTCTAACGCATTTTTCATAAATTTCTAAAGTGGCTTTTTCTCTCCGCAACCCGAGGGGTTCCACATTTGTATGTATTTCACTTGCAGTTGGTGTAGACCGCATAGCTCCACAGATTAATCGGAGGGCATTATTTTGTACTCTGTCAAGAGTCTCTAGGTTAGTTTTGGAGCAGGTTGTAAGCAGTGAGTTGTTGTACTCTATCACAGAGCGAACATATCCAAGATATAAGCCCCTCAGAGTTTCCTTGTCTGATCCCTATGATGTACCTGCAAGTCTCTTTAATAACTGTAACCACCTCAATGCCTTATTCCTTACGTTTTCAATATGGTTCTTGAGGCTGAGCTGCTGGTCAAGTATGACTTCAAAGTATGTAGGATGCTCTTCTTTCATCACTTGGTGTTTGTCTAACCTCAGGTTAAAATTCTTCCTTGATACTTGATGGCTTTTGGTAAAGACTGTGTATACCGTCATTGTATAGTTAACCTTGAGTTTCCATCTTTGGCAGTACTCATGCAGTCTTCTAGGGTCCCCATTTAGTCTTTGGGCTCCACTTTCCACATTTTCATGACTGCCATATTGCTAGGTGATCAGCGTACAAGGCTTTTTCGGCCTGATGTGTTCTGGCAAGTCATGATAAAGTTAGAAACAGTGTACAGCTCAGTGATGAGCCTTGTGGCAAGCCCTCCTCCAAGACTTCTTTAGAAGACATTGCGTTCTGTATGTTGGTCTGGACTAAGAACTTTTAACATTAAGAACATAATTTGTGTGTGTGGATGAGAGAAAATACAGTGTTCCAATTAGTTTTTTTTTTTTAAATTTTCAATTGATTTCCCTGAACTTCCGTAAACAGTAGTCCATAGTATTGTCACTGTTTTTACAGAATGTTTGATGACGAAACCAAACCTGTCATTCCACATTGTGCCAGTGACTTTGCACGGAGAAGTGCACAGGGGAAGAGACTAACCTTACTTAGGCTAGGATGAGTAAGTGCATTCTGAAAACAGTTGGCAGAGAAGACAGAGCGCATAATTTTGGTTGGCAGTTGATCTGTGTGGGAAGCGGAGAGACAGAACATTGCTCTTCAGATCCGGCAGCTTCTGTGGCATGCTGTATACAAAACGTATTGGTGTCACCTTTTCTTTTGAGTAAACAAGGCAGGCCGAGCGATAATGCTGATCGCACAACATCAGGCCTCTACAATAATGCCTCGGTTTTGTGCTATAAAGAGGATGAGTTTCGTTCCTGACCTTAATTGGCTGTGATTCATATGCCACTCTATAACACAAGATAACACTGACTCAAAAGAGGAAAAGATAAATGAAAGTATAAGACCCCTGTTCGTTGCTCATCTTACTGACTTTTGAAGTGAACAGAGTTTTCAATGACCACGAAACAGCAAAGTTTCATTGATTTTATGTGAAATAGGTGTCCTTGCTCTTTAGCTCTACAGTTGTGTAAATCCAGCCTGCATTATTTCACCAGTTTGAACAGTCAGTATAGCTGAAGACGCTATCTGTTTATATTTTCTTCAGTCTTATGTACCAAAGTCTGTTATTCAGAAGTGCATGTTGTTACTGGGGCTTGTAAAAGATTCAGCTCAGGCGATTTTTCCATTCAGTGTCGATTTTTCCATTCAGTGTCGATTCTTCCATTTCGTGTCGATTCTTTCATTCAGTGTCGGCAAAGAATAATCCAGACTTTTAACGAGAATAATGAATCTGATTGGTTATAACATAATTCATTTTTTTATTGCAAAATAAGGCGATTTTAATCAGTTACCTAAAGTGGAGATAGCACCAGTTTAGGAATTTGTCTCTTTCTCTCTAGCTGCACCTAAGGCTTCCCAGCTGCACCTAAGGCTTCCCAGCT